CAAGAAACTTCTTCTGAAGAAAGTTTAGAAGCAGACTTTAATTATTTTCAAAATGAAGATGATTGCTATGGAATTGATCTTGGTGCAGCCATCAAAGAAGAAGTTCAAAAGACTAAATGACTACATGGACAAAGTTATCTTGATGAATTAAGAAGATTTCGAATTCATCATTCAAGATTGATTCTTTCAAAGATTTGCTAGCACAAACGAATAGATCAAATTTGACAAAAGAATCATTAACTTTATTAATGTAAAACTTTTGAAAAAGAAAGCATTTTCTTTATCAAAAGTAACTTTATTAAAGTATCTTTTGTCATATCAAACTTTCGACTGAAAATGAAGACAAAACATTGTTCCTCCTTTTTGAAAAGTAGTCAACAAAGTACTGTTCAATCAAGGTCTCAATCAACTTTGCAAGATTCCTCCTATTTTTTACTTTTTCAAGTTATAAATTCAATGTAAAACATTCAATGTAATCAGAGTTAAGACGGGACATAAACTTCAAAAGTTTCTCTTTGTATCAAAAGTCTCTTTGTATCAATTTTATTATCGATAAAATTCTTATTCAATTTCAAATATTTTCTAAGTTTATTTTGCATTTATTTTCATTGCGATTTACTATCCTCCACCTGGGTCACTTTGGTATTTTATATATATACTAGGTGTAAGCAACGTGCAATGCACGTTTGCTTAGTTTTTATATTTAATAATTTCGTTTAAGAATTAATTTGTTATTAATAAAGATGTTATTTTTTTGGTTAATTAAATAATTAATAATATAATGTTTATATAATTGATAAATAATTAGACGTTGTGATATATTAAAAAAAAGAGCATTAATCTATAGCATGGTCCTATAAATAAACATCGCAACATCTTCCTCACGTCACCTCCCATCTCTAAGAAATGTGAGCAGTTGACCCAAACAATCCCTGCCTGAAAAGCCTTGGTCATCCGCTCACACCTTTCCAGATCTTGTGATAATACAGCAGCAGCCAGACCATATTGGGTGTCATTTGCTAGTTCAATGGCTTCATCTTCAATTTTGAATGTTTTGACACAGAGAACTGATCCAAATACTTCCTCTCTCCAGATTTGCATGGAGGTCTTCACATCTGTTATTATGGCCGGTTTGATGTAGTAGCCCTTCTTTAAATGCCGAGGGTATTCACCCCCACACAAGATGGTGGCACCTTCATCCTTTGCTATTGAGATGAACTTCATTACTTTCTCGTACTGTCCACTGCTTACCACAGGACCAAGCCTGCAACCTTCCTCCAAGGGGTCTGAAGTTTTGATGTTCTTGCACCACTTTACAAGCTTGTCCAAGAATTCTGCTGCAATGCTTTCATGCACAAGAAGTCGAGAAGTGGCACTGCAAATCTAACCATTTGTCCAAAAGCAACCAAAAAGAGACCACTCAGCAGCTTTGTCTAGATCAACATCCTCAAATACAACAATTAGGCTTTTCCACCAAGCTCAAGTGTAACTGGCTTGACAAGTTGAGCTGCAGAAGTCATAATTTTGCTTCCAGTAGCATTACTCCCAGTAAATGCTATCTTATCAACATGAGGATGAGATACTAAAGGAGCACCAGCATCTCGTCCCAGTCCTGTCAGAATATTGAGAATGCCAGGTGGAAGGCCTACCTCGTTACACACTTAAATACTTGAAAATC